CATTTGGTGTTCATGGAAATACATTACGCGTGTATGTCCTATGTGTGCAGTAAGGCCTGGTGGCATGAGAGCTTTGAATTCCAGAAGATAACACTTTGTAAATACCTTTCACAGTTTGCACCACATTACACTTCAGTTGGTACTTGCGAAAGGAGTTCACTGTTTGAAAAACTGGTTCTTGAAACTGTCACTCAACTGAAACTGAACTTCAGGTCCTGGCTCTGTTGCTCTGTGTGTTTATTATATGAAGGACTTCGGCTTTATCATGTTTCCTAATTAGAATTTCTATTTGATTATGTATTTTCTTAGGAATTTAATGTTATTGCTGAAATTAAGCTCCTACAATCTGCATGTAACGGCTACTGCATGGCACCAGACCAAACATTCATCCGGTGGTTCAGAAGACAGCAGCATTTAACTGACACGGAGAGGTAGGTTAAGTCCAGCTGGCAAAGCAGGCTTTTCATACCCCACACCCACCTGCAGAGAGGTTATGTCAGCCTTAAGTTATCCTCCTACAGGAACTGGTATATACTGCTGCTCCAGGAGAGTGGAAATACATCTGCCTTCTGCTAAGCAGCTGTAGAAAACCTGTTGAACACGTAGCAGGGTTTAGTTTTGAGATTGGAAATCAGACTTCTGACTTTGACATGAGATAGTCTGTTGGGTCTGGGCTGTCTCTGTGCCCGGACCCGTGCTCAGAAGTTGATCCTGGGGGATGTCAAGATGCAGCCACTGAGCATTCAGCTGGTGGATGCAGGCAGCAGGTAGCCCCAGCAACGCAGAGCTCACTGAGTGCTCGCCAGGTAAATGTCTCCCCAGGCATTTGGGGTGAGTTTTGCAGCCCTGCTGAGTTCAGTGCTGCTGCACATGCTGCCAGGCCAACCCGAGACAATTGGTTTATGGCATTTTAGTATCTCCACTAGGTAGATGAATACCCCCCTGCTGCACTAAGGGTGTAAGCACAGATACATACTGCGTTGTACTGAGTGGTAGTAAAACACTATGTCAGCTTTATCCACGATGAACATACTCCAAAAAAAAGCACTGGTTTTTAGAACTACTCTGAAGAAGTGAAATAGCCCCTTCACCGTGGTAAAATGTTAGAGAACTCTAATCAATAGTCTTGCCTGTAAAAATTAACCCAGTGGCTTCTGTTCTGCAGTTACAACCTTTCACATGAGGTTGAGGCAGCTGCTGACACCAGCACCACTTCACCAAAATCTCGGAAAAGCATGGTGAAGAGATTCAGCCTGTGAGTACAATGGGGCAAAGGGCATTTGGTGTTTGATTTGTTCAGGCTCATGTTAACATGACTAGTACTCATTTCACCAGCTGAAAAACCTGCAGGCAGAAAAGATGTCCAGCTTGTGACAGCGTTTTTCGTTCTTTCTGTTGTGTAGCTCTCCGAATCCTCCAGTTGGCAGTTCTGTGGATGCATTCGCTTGGGGGTGGTGTCTGTAATCTCCGCCCCAGCCGTGACCATCTCGAAGGAAAAGGACTCCTCAACCAATTTTCCACTTGAAATTATCATAGATAGGATAGGAGAGTTAGGAGATTTTATTTTTCAAAGCCATAGGCAAGACATAGATCGTCAGCAGCCCTTACTGAAAAGTCTTTGAGTTACATTAGGATTAGTAATGTATGTTACAGTTCTATAAGAGGTTACACTTAGTATAGTTTTACGCTACAATTAGTACAGTTTATTTATATTATTAGGATAGTATAAGTTAGTATAGTTTTACACTACTCTAAGATTTACCACTTCTATTTACAAGTACCACCATGTAGCTCCTAGTCCGAATAGTTGAAGAATTCCAATTTAGTTTTTATTGAGAGGGTAAAGATAGTGCGTTTCCCTAGTTTACACTTTCCATTGCGTTACGTGAGAAAAAGATGTTTTAAATTGCTGTCCAGTTGCACGCTGCAAGAGTGCAGGGAGCTTGTTGAGAGCTAAAGGTCAACGTCAGGAAACCAAAAACCATCCCAGCGCATCCGCCATGCACACCAACCTGCTACTGCTCTGGAATGTTTTGTGCTCCTTTTTGAGCTTGCAGTTTAATGATTTCTGTTGCGGCTAACAGGGCATCTGAGATTATACACAGGTTTTACAACTACTTCATGAAATTATTCTCTTTTGGTGCAGTGAATGATTTCTGCAGCAAGTTAATAAAAATAAAATGGGTTTGAGTGTTTCCATCTCTTCCCCATTGTCTCCATCACGGCATTTTCCCCTCCTGGCCTCACGACATTACTTTGTTGGGGTTTTCCCCTCTCCTGCACACAGTCCTGAGGCTTGGGTTCACACAGCTCAGCTGCTTGTTCTGCCTCTTAGCACAGTCCCTCTTCCCCTCAGACCTCTCACACAGATGACCTGCCATTCACAAGTTACTTCAGCACTGGGGGAGACTCCTAAAACTGCCAATGTCACACCGAGTCCCTGAGCTGTGGCAGTTGCTCTTGCCACAGCTGTCATGACAACTGTCAACTGCCTTTCATGTTACAACAGCAAAGCCAAGAAGAACGATTACGCTGAATTTAAGCTGCCTCTTGCTTTTTTCCTAGGTAAACTACCTAGGGATACGAAACAAAGCCACACAACCTTACTCAGTTTCCTTCAGGATAAATACAATCTACCTGCGAACTCGGAATTTCATAGTGCCATATTGAGAGTACACCACCACTTGTCCTTTCCTAAACAAAGGCAAAGACAGAGTTATCAGATTACAAGCACTGTTATTGCAGATAATCATTTTTAGGGCCTGTCACCATAACCTTTCTTGGGAACAAGCTGCTTTGTCAGCTGGCTTGCTACTTAGACTCTGTAAAACCTGTTCCCAGCTTCCACTGGTCTGTCACCAGACTCACTGGGGGTAGACACTTGCTGGGTCAGCTGGGGGCTCCTGGGTTTTGGCTCTCTTGCTCCACAGCAGAGCACAAACCCCATACCAAAAGGAGGGGGGAGGAGAAAAAGGAGCCCTCTGTGCGTCATGAAGCAGCCTGCCAAATTCTTACGTTTCCCTTGTTAAGTTCTGCTAACAGAAACTCATTTTCAAGGTGTCTGAGCAAGTGCGTGACTAGGCGCAGCACGAGGCACCTCCGCGCTTGGGCTGTGGGTGCTAAACCTGCAGGAGGGGACATCCCTTCCGTGCCCGTGCTGCACCATACCCCAGGACAGCGCGCCCGTCCTGCACGCAGCAAACAGCGTCTCCGCCAGAGCCCAGAGGCTGCTTCAAGCCTGTGCTCCTCCTTGCACACAGTTTTGAAGCAAGTAGATGGAGGCCATATCTGCTCTGAAACTGACATATTCATTTAATTCAGGTGTTCTTCAATTGTTTCCTTCCGCCCCTGAAACTACCATCATGCCCCTTGCACCACTCACTCCCAGAGTCAACTAGACCAAAAAAAACATGCACACAAAAAAACCCCAACTCACCCACCCAACCCACCCTAGAGTGCTGTTGTCAAGATGCTTTTAATAAACTGCTACTGCTCTGCTTCGGGAAATCAAAGTTAATGAAACTCGGCCTCCCCGAGCATCCAAACCAGCTCCACCGACAGCATCAGTTCCTGAGAGCACGGCGTCGGCCAGCTCCAGCCCACGGGAGGCGACGGGGCAGACGTGTCCAAACAGCAGCTTTACCTGTTGGTCAGTGCCAGCCTCGTCCAGCCTCGGGCCCCTCCCCCCACCGCATCTGCAGGACGCACTTTAAGGCCCGGGTAGCCCGGTGGCTCCACTACAGAAGGGCAGCTGCTCCAGCCTGGACAGCAGAAGGAACGTGGCTTCCAGCTGGCAGCTGTGGAACAGGCTCATTTGTACAGCCAGTGACTCCATGGTAGAGTGACACAGATGCAAAACTCTCGAGCTGACCTTCCCTGCCAGGGCTACTCCCACCCAATGAAGAATACACACAGCCGCGCATCTTGCACCAGGTTCTATGTATTATCAGACCGGCTGACAGGTAATAACATGTCTTCTTTAGCAGAAAGCACAACACTGATCACTAATTATTAAAAACAGATAAAAGAAATAAACACCACCACCACCAAAACCCAACCGAACCAACCAACCCCGCTGCTGCAACAGCAGCCTGTAGCTTGAGGTCTGTGCCTAATAGCCCTGTAGTGCACAATTCTATCACGGCTGTTGAGAACAGTACGGTTGACAACACTAACATTTCTGTAGGTTGCTTTGTTTTTATAAGGATAGTGTCAAGCAGTTTGTAAATGAACGGTTGAGGTTTTAAGTTCCTAGAAGTCCTACGCTTGACTTTATGGCCTAATTAAACAGGCCTGCAAATAGGTCATTGGGCTTTGTTTTCCTGAAGAAATAAACTGAGATGGGGGAAGGAAGCAGGACATGACACGGACTAACTCCACCTGTGCTCCCTTCGGGCACTGCGGAGAGAAACCCAGCAACCTGCACTTTCCCATCCAGCTTCCGAGATTTTAGACACACCAAGACGTCAGTTTGGGGCTGGGAGGCCTGTTTAGATGGGATCTAGCAAGTGTTGAAGTCTGCGGAGGGGAAGCAGCAGCAGTTTTCTTTTGAGATGTGATGAGGGAGAAGAGGCTACAGAGGAGCGCTGCTCCAGAGCACTCGGCGTTTCTGGAAACCATCCTGATTCTGACAGGGATCCGTTTCAAAACCAAAAACCAAGTAAGCCAAATGCTTGCCTGCAGTTTCTCTCAGTGAACAGGGCTATAAAAGCCTGCAAACCTACAAGAAGTTATAGTTACACGGCAGCCCAGTTACAGCTGTCCAGAAAGGTATTGACACTTGTACACCTCTATATATTAATCTTTATAAATACAGTGTTCTGCATGAAAAACTGCAGAAAGACGTCATTCAAGGCTGGGGTTTTTTTTTTACAAAAGCTTGTGAGGGCTTTTGTTCGCATCTCTGTCTTTTTTCTGCCACTCTGGAATGCTTGTTCCTTTTCCTCCTTCACCTCCCACCCAGTCCTAAGCGGCTTGGTTAGTGGGCAGGTCCAACCACTGTGCTTTGCCATTCAAAGCAGTGGGAAGGAGGCCACGTGAAGAGCTGCTCTACAACTTTCAAGGGTGAAAAGCTAAAGTGTGAGGCAGGTTCAGCTGTCAACAGAGTCCCAGGGGAAGCGGGCAGTCATAGCTCATCCCTGGAGGACGGTGCGTTGAAGGATGACTGGGAAGGCAGAGCATCCTTGTTCTGGGCATCGCTGTGGATCTTGCCCTGCTGACGGGATTTCCAGGAGTGTGTTCTGTCCCAGTCTGTTGACACAGTCTCGTTGTCCCAGATTGTAGAGGTCTCTGTGTCACTGAGGTAGCCTGGCTGCCCTGTGTAGTGCGTGGGGTAAACAAGCAGGGGTTCTGCTGAAAAGGCTTTCAAGTCTCTGGACTCATAGTACTGCATGTACTTTGCTCTGAAGAGGAGAGAAAAATCACCCCAGGAACAGAGTGAACATTCACCACTGCCACCGCTTACAACTGACAGATACAAGCCAACCCACCAAGCAAACAGATCCCAGGGAGCGGAGGTAGTTGCTGGGTGGAGTTCTAGTAGAGAATTCTGACTCTCTACAGCCAGAACCTCCTGTCTTACAACCACACACAACCTATACTACCAACACCTTAGTTACCAGAGAGAGCCAAGTGTCTCAGGACCAGTCCCTACCTGGTTCAGGGCTTGTGGACAATATCCCCTTGCAGCAGGTCTGTCACCTCCTTTGACCTGTGTCAGCAGCTCTGCTCTAGAGAGCTAAAAAGCATGAGTAGCCCTGTCTCCCACCAACCAGGCTACACAAGAGACACATCAACATGACCTGGCTTAAGGATGTTAGCAAGATCCAGCCCACGTCAACATAAGCAACAAAGACTTACTACTTACACAGGATGCTTGTTGTACATGACTGGCAGAAATTCATCGACAGGCAGCATCTTGCTAAAAGGCTCAGCTCCAATGAGTTTCTGAGCCCCTTGGAAAGAGATTGCGTACCCCAGGGTCCAGTATGAGTAATCAGCTTCCACCAAATTCATGACATTGGGAACGGCTTTCTCAGGCTCTTGCACTCGCATCCTTTTCCGGCCAATGTAGCTTAAAGGGTGGAAAAAACAAGGAAACTGGAACCATAGCGAATGTGAAGCAACTAGGACCACAAGACTGTTCATGACTTGTGACATGAAGGAAGGGCAGAGGGGCAATCCAAGAAGTAATCCCTGACCAGGCTCACAGATTTCTATCCTGCACATTAAGCCTTAACCCACTGGGTGGTAAAACTGTGAAAGACTTCATAAGGGAGCCAACATGACATGGTGCAAACCTTGGGACTGAGCTCTGTCAGTTCCTGTCACACCAGCATCTCCAGACACCGTGGAGATCGAGCAACACTGCCCACAAAGGGCACCAATGGTACCCAAGGGATTTTCCAGCACCAGCCTGCCCAGAAGGCAGATCTGTCCTGATGGCAAGAGCCACCGAGAAGTTGCTGCCACCTTCCCCTGCACTCCAGCACTAACCTGCATCTCTACCATGACACAGCAGGCACTGCTGACCTCCCCTGCGTGCCCAGGAGTTCCCAGCTGGCTGAGTTACTTACATAAGCTCCCAGTCTAGCTGGGCTTGTTCAACGTCACCCATCAGCTTCATGAGCTTCCTCTTAAACTGGTGTTCAAAGCGCACATCGTCCTCAATAACAAGCGTCTTCTCCAGTTCTCTGGTCACCACCTGAAACCAAAAGGTGCAGAAGCAATCCCACTGGCACATCCCCATCTGAAGCCGCACCATCTAGAGCCAAGAGCCACCATCCCACGTGACCACAGCTCCTCAAAGGAACGTGCAGCAGCCTTTGATGCCAAAGCTGCTGTTCAGAAAACTCTTCCTTGGGAGAGAGCGTTCCTGAAGTCTGTGAAGGAAGACAATCCAGCATATCCAAACTCTGGCCCCGACAACTTGGAGAACACATGCGCAAAGACATCCTGCATATGTGGCTTCCCACATTATCATCCGATTGTTGCGTTGCCTGACTTCTCAGCACTGAAGTCACTCCTGCTGGCTCTAGGCTTTTGGAGCAGTGCCCTGCCCTGCCGACAAGTGCTGCAACTAACACCTCCCAAGGCAGAGGGCTGCCTGTATCTGAGTAACCACTGCCATTGCCCAGTCTTCTTTCAGTACCAACTCTTTCTCCCTGTCTCCGCCACACCTTACTTGAAATAATCCCTCCCGCTGATGTCGGGCTGTGTAATGCCAGCATCTGTGACCAGCACAGCCCAGATCCTCTCAAGCATCGCTCCCGAGGTGACCAGGGACAGATGGAACCTTCTACCACCCAAACAAGATCTCTTAGCTCAGGTAACAAAGGTGCCTCCTATGAAGAATCCTCACGACAGGCCAACTCAAAAAAGCCAGTCAGCAGAGTCACTGCAACTTGCTTCAGTCCACATGCAGAACAAGAGGTAAAAACAGGAGGTTTTGTAAACACCATTTGTTCTTCAAAACCTTCTCGCCTTTCTCCGGAAACAAACTTGCTCCAAGCAGGCTATTGGATGGTTTGCAAACAGAGTCATGAAAATATTCTGATAAAAAACCATTCGGCTCTGTTGGCAGATGGAAAGCAGAGATGAGAAAGCTGAATAGTGCATTCAAGAAAATGCCCGTGCCTGATCCCCTACAAACCAAGGAAAACGGTTCCATCCTACACTTCCAGAAACCTGCATCGTCCTTGGGCTGGCTGTGTGCCTTCCTCCTGCACCCACAACACCTGCCTGCAGGAACACCAAGGTTTGCACCCGCAAACTCCTTACCTCCTTCCAGATGTAATAGTGACTAAGGAAGCAGCCAATCTCTCCTCTGGTTAGTGGCCTGGAAGAGTATGGATCCCGGTATCCTGGGAGCATATCGATGCTGAGAGCTTTGAGCTGACTCGTGTTAAGTGCTCTGAGAAAGAGAAAATATCTATCACCATTTAAAAGAAAAGTGAATTCAAGTCAGACACAGACACAACATGGAAAACGCTGCTGATGTTCAAAGAAAACCTGTATCTTGAGAAATGCCTGCACCTGTTTTGCTCAAAAACCCCGAGAAAAATTAACTTACTGATTTGCATTTCTAAATCAAGCTGGCAAATCATAGCCTTAACTCTGCCAACAACTTCTTGTGGGACCATCAACTTCTCAGGTGCTTGGCTTAGACTGTTTTCCTAAGACGTCTTGATGGGTGCCCAAGCCTTCAAGACCGCTAGATGGCATGTGGGTTCCCATCTCCCTGAGGCCTTTTGCAACTCCCACACCCCAAATTTCTGCCTTGATCTCTCATTATAGAAAGGTTTTAACACACCTTAGAGCAAACTTGGAACGGTTAACGCTGTAACACAACAGCTTTGCAGCACTAGGATGGACAGTCTTCCCAGGAGACGATTGCTCTCACTTTCACTGCTGACTCCTTTGAACTGTGTGCAAGCGTTATAGTTCACAGAAATCAGCAAGATTTTAACCCCATTTTCATCTTAGTCTGAACCACCCTGCCCTGCTTCTCTCATGGGGACTGACTAGGTGCAAAAGAAGAAAGAAAGAGAGCAAACCTGCCCCAAACAGACTGCTAGGTAGATAAAAGTGATATTCACCTCTCCCCTCAGCCCACCCTTCCCCGCCAGAAGGCAGGTCAGGGCATCCAGGGAGATGCTGTTAAAGCAGTTCTGCACAACCCACTCCTTGCAAACAGCAACCCCAGCCAAAACTCACTTTCCATCCACAGCCTCCACTATCTTGACTGCAATCTCCTGTTCATAGAGAGTCCGCAGCATCCGATCCCGCCTGTCTTTCCGGCGCTTCAGATTGATCATGAAAATCTGGGTAGAAGAGAAAGACGTCAGCCTCCCAGCTTGGGACTGAGGAAGAAAACGGAGTCCTGATCCATTCTTCTCCAGCAGCCCCATTGAAAAGCACATCTTTTGAAAATACTGGGTCTGTTTTCATTCAGGTTACTTAGAATTTGTCAAAAAAATGGAGTTGGTTTTGAGTTGAAAGCTTAGAGGCCAGTTCTCCACCTTAAAATCACTTTTTATGGATGCTCACAGGGGAAACTTGCTCTTCCAGGGTCAATAAAGCTGAGGGGAGAGCAGCCACAGCAAAGTCTATAACTTACCAAGATAGAGGATATTTTGATTTATATCAAACACAGAGTAACACGGCCATCTCCAGCCTCAGTCCTAGAGGAACACTGACCCACATGTTTCTCCACAATGCTGCCACTGCCTGTATTTACGAGTATCAGTGGGGCCAGAATTCAAGTACGAGCACAGAGTAAAGAAAGGATTTAGGTCATTACTGCAGGCACGGAAAACCCACTGCTACCTCTGCCAGAGCAGAAAGCCTTGCAGAGAGCCAAGACTGGGGACAGACATGTCTGGGCAGGGCTCCACCCAGGCCTTGAGGAGACAAGACTCTCTGGTGGAGGGCAGAGGACTTAAGCCCTCATTTGCAGGTACACTGCAGAGGGCCAGGGATAATTTTCAGTCCCAGGCAGGCAAGTGCAGCCTTGTAGCCTGTGCCGCAAAACCTCACCCCAATAAGCAGCAGATCAAATTCCAGCTCAGTACAAAGGCAAAAATAATAACTGGGATAGATAAAGCGCAGCCGCAAAGGACAACATGGAAAAAACCTCCACCAGCTGTGTCCTCAACACAGATGCTCAAACACACAGAGCCAAATCAGGTTCAGACTTTACGATTCCTGTCAACAGATGGAGCAGAATACACCAGGAAAACAAAGGCTCACCTGATCACCACAACTCCCTTGGTCATGGTGCCGCTGCCACTGCGGCAGATGCATACGCAGGGGCTGCTGGCTCTCTGAATAACATGGACACTGGTTAATGAAAGCACAGCAGAGCCCTCTCCAGCCTTCTCCCCTCAGTGCCTGCCCTCTTCACAACATCAGGCAGAGCTGGGAGAGGAATTTCTGCCGCTTCTTGGGGCACTACCAGTGTCAGCAACCGTCTTTGTAGTTCACTTCTACTTAAGGCCATAGCAGAAAAATGTGGCAACCAAGAAGGGCAGGGGGAGGAGCTGCCCCAGTAAAGAGACAGCGTGCACAGTTTTCATCACTCCTGGACATACCCAGGGTGGGCCAGAACCCAGCTGAGAGCCTGGGTCCCACAGCTGCTCCACAACTCCAGTGTTTCTCTCAGGCAAGAGAACTCACTCCCTTCCGCCACTGGAAAGCAGGAGAGGTTTCCCAAAAGACCATGTTTTGTCACAGAATGGAAGGACTGCCAAGCTGCTCCGCAGAGTCGGATGTAGAGAAAACACACAAGAATTGGGGAAATAACCTGCTCTTCAGCCTGACTTCTCCATCTCCTCCTGGCTGCATTCAAACATCCACACCTTGAAGACAGGAAGCCCAAAGATTTGCTTGTACCCAAGCCTACACTTCTAAACATGGCTCTCGTAGCAGGTACTAAGTGCCCACAGACCTGGCTGGCCTTGTTTCTCTAGAGCAAACACCAGAGGGAAAGA